CAGTGGAAACATAAAGTAAATGCTGGTATAGATTTTCCACTTTTTTTTTTTTTTTAAAGATTTATTTATTTATTTGTGCATACAGAACTGGGGTACAGGCCAGAGGCTCAGGGGTGGCGAGAGGCTTCACCAGAGACAGAGTGGGGAGCAGAACAGGCAGATTGACGAAGTACACTGCTGAGGGAAGCAGCGGGCGTGTCAGGAGAGGTCTGCCGCGCCATGTGGTCTCCTCCGGGGCAGGCGGCAGGCGGGGATCAAACTCATGCGGAAGTGGCTTCAGATTCTCAGTGCTGTGCTTTAACCCGCTGCGCCACCAGGGAGGGCCAGATTTTCCACTTTTTGACGCCTAGTTTCAGTTTCTATAACTTCATTGGATAGACATCATCTGACTTTCGTCTGAAAGTCTTAAGTTACTGAGCTAGTTTACACAGGTTAAAAAAAAAGAAAAGAAGGCCCTCCCTGGTGGTGCAGCGGGTTAAAGCACAGCACTGAGAATCTAAAGCCGCTTCTGCTTGAGTTCGATTCCCACCTGCCCTGGAGGTGACCACATGGTGTAGCAGACCTCTCCTGACCCGCCGCTGCTCCCCTCAGCAATGTACTTCGTCGCTCTGCCTGTTCTGTTCCCCACTCTGTCTCTGGTGAATCCTCTCACCACCCCTGAGCCTCTGGCCTGTACCCCAGTTCTGTATGCACAAAATAAATAAATCTTTAAAAAAAGAAAAGAAAAGAAAATCACAATAAATTATTCTTGTTTGGCAAGGGTATTAATTTTCTTTATTTTTATATACCTATGGGGCATTTCTGGAATATTCTCTTTTTGCTATTAAAATAGCATCTCTGCCATCATTAACATTGCTGTAAGTCAGAGGTAAACTTAAGAAGATATCTAAATGTCTTGAGCTATAATACCAGTTGCATTCTTAGCAGATCCAGGTTACTCTTGCTACTATTAGAACTGTTATGCCATCGACTAGAAGTTTGGGAAGTATTTCACAATTGTTTTATTCCTTTGAAAGCATTATAGACTTTTTAGGTTGATGGTCTTGTGTCTAAACTTTCTTGAAGAAGTCCAAGTGCCTTTCTGAACTTTGCTGAGAATTGATGTTATAAAGCAAAAATTCAACAGAGAGCTGTAAAATTTTAAGGTGTATATCTACTATGTTCTTCACAAAATCACTCTGGAAAAAAGACAGATTAAGAATAGACAGGAATCTTGGAAGCTTACTAGTATAGTCCAGATGAGAAATGATAGAAACTTTGGCCTGGTCTTTCAGAATAAGAATAATAAGAGAGGACAAATTTGAGAAAAATTTAAGAAATTATGTTATGGTGTTGGAGATGTTTTTTTCCAGAAAAATAACTAAAACTTTTTGAAATCACCAAGATTCTGAAATTATAAAGAGTTCACCAAAAATATATTCACCTTCTTACTACTCTGTTTTAGCTACTAAAGTAGTTGCTTTATGAACTCTTTTTTCAATTTAAAAATTTTTCCAGAATGATCTTTGTCTCAAGACAGTAAAATTTTATTTCATGGCTAACTGGACATTTAAGTAAATCCTGGTTTTTACACAGCCGCCTTCTTACCTATTAATCACTTGCCTATCTAAAAGAATTTTAGTAATCTACTTAGATAAACTGGGCTTACCTAAAAACCAGACAATTCTATTTATCATACAACTATTTCTTAGTCTCTTAAACACACATTCTATATTGTAGTTATTTATTTTACAAAAGGAATATCTATAAAAACAGAAAGGTCTGCCTTTCTCACTAGACAGATGTCCTCTAGAGGACATTTCTTATTCATGTTTGGATTCCTAGTATATACCACCATGTCTATCACATATTCAGCATTTGGGTAATATTTGTCACATTTGGGTAATATTAAGGCCTCCACCTAATATGTAATTTTATGCTCTAAAAGGAAGCTAGTAGTGAATATCAAATGAGAAAATTACCACAGATAACCTTTCAAAAACATACAGCATATTGTATTTTAAAAATGGCTTATAAACTGATTTGCACACAGTGTCTCAGTAATGTATCTACTTGCACACATCATTAACTTGGATAATTCAGTTATTATAATTAAAGCACATTGGGATTCAAAATGAGTAAGAAGTGTTAAAACATGTGAAATGACATAAAGAGTACAATAATAGACATTCATGGTCCACCATCCAACTTAAGGAATAAAACATTGCCAGTACAGCTAAAACTCACCTTATTCCTCTGCCCAGTCCATCCTACTTCTGTCCCACTCTTTATTAGGTACATTGTTGATTCCAGCACATTTTCTCACACTTAACTGCTTCTGTTTGTAATCCAAAAATGTTGGTTTGCATGACATGTTGTCAAACTCTAATAATATATGTTGTTCACATTCATTTGTGCCTTTTTCCCTATGACATTATGTTTGGGACATTTTCCATGCTAAGAGCTCATGTTCTACTTTATTTTCATAGCTGTATTCCCCCAAATGAAAATACCTAGTCATTTTTCTATTGATGACAGTTAGGTTTTAATATTAAACATAAATGTAAGAAAATGCTTTAAAATGTCCTTGCTTAGCCAAATAATGTTTTAAATTTGAAAATTTAAACTACCTAGGAAAGAAATCAACTATTTTTAAATGTTTCACACATTTATTCTATTGTTTGGGATTTTATAATAAATATACCAGCTGGACTTTTGTTTGCTGAGTTACCTTGGTTAGTTTTTCACGACTGACCTGGCTTCCAAAACAAATTTGAAGCAGCTCACATCAATACCATATTATTTCAGAAAACCTAGACTAAGATCTTGGATTATTCTAATCTAAGGCTAATATAAACCTTCTCCCACCCCAGAGTTCAGTCCCCATTTGTAATTTACTATCACATATGAAAATATTGTTGCCTTTGATGTGTTAAAATTCATTTTTAATTTAATTTTGGCCTCAATTAAAGAGATAAATTGTCAGATTACATGCCAAATTGACACTCATTTTCAATTTTGAGATTAGTTCCTTTTGTATAACAATCAGAAAATATCTCTGCAGACTTTAAATGATTGCACTTTTAAATAAGATATGTACACAGTGGGTGGTAAATGTCATGGTAGTAAGACTACCAGTCAACTAAAAACAAAATGAAGTTCAAGTAATGAATTCTAACCTTTAAAAATTTGTGACACATGATTTTAAAAGCAAGTTCAAGTTGTTTGGGGCTTTTTCCTTGAGGAAGGTCCTCTAAAGGGCAGCAGCTGAATCACTTCATCAGATTTTGGACAGATTTCTGAAATACCTAGTTCTCTGGAGGTTTACCCAATTTTTAAGTTGTAGTTATTGTAGTTATTTACCCCATTTCAGATGTTAGAGATTAGTCTAAAAGCTAAGTCCTGATTAAAACATGTTTAAGTAGACTACCAAGCCTTTCCAATTCACATTGCTGTAATCTCTTAGGTTTCATTGAATGAGGCACTTTAGGATATTATAATAAAAACCTTTGATAAAGGTTTCTAGAGTCAATGTATGTGCATAGGGCATCCCATAACATCTCAGTCCATAGAAGGGGTTGTGTAAACTAAGGAAAGATATGTTCTCATGTAATATGTAGTAATATTCCAGAATTAGACCTCATTAGAAAATTGAGTAGCCTGTGGTCTGAGGAAATATTTTTCTTGTAAATTCTGTCTTCATGGAAAGGCTCTTTGATTCTCAGAATGTATTTGTTTCAAGGTAATTCAGTTTGAATTCACACATGCACAGAAATCTCCTGAACAGTCTTCCTTAAAATTTCACAGTGCATGTTTTATAGACCGTCACACTTGATGAATACTGAAGTCTTAATATGACATGGGTCTTAATAATAAACTGTGATGTGGAATGTATACTTAATAACGCTGATGTTTTCACAACAGTAATAGCAGTTCAATTAACAGCTCTTTCTTGACATGGTTAAATGACAAATGCAGAGTTATCAATTTTGAGTAAGGGGATTCAGCTTCAAAAGAACTTTGTTATTTATAAGCCTCCTTGCAGTTTAGATATGCTGCCATCAGGTGGTAGTAATATGTCATGTCCTTGTGGCTCCACAGATGACATTCTGCTTCAGGTCACTAATTTACCTGCAAACATTTACAATAATGATGCACAGATTTTTACATGAAAATTAAAATAACATCATATCTGCTTAGTTTTAGAACTAAGGATGCTCTTAATAGAATTTTAAAAACATTATTGTTATTTTCAGTTGAATATATTTTCTGTTCTTTTTAAAATAAATTAATTTCATCTTATGACTTCTAAAATTTAGAAAATATAGAAAAGAAAAAAATTAAGGATCTAATTTCATCATTCAAAACTAATTGATACTAACCTTTAGCTTTATTCTCCTCCAGTCTTTTTTTTTTTATATGTATTTTTCAGTATGGTTTTTGTTATTTGAATTGTGATTGATGGTAGGAAATGGCTTAGTAGTGGAGACGTTGTATATACAGCCAATGTCTTTTACAAGTTTTAAAGTTATAAGTTTATTGTAACTTCCTTATTACTTCTTATTAGTCCATTAATTGAAGTTTTCATAAGTGTATGGTCATTTACCTATGAGTAGATACGATATCTTTCTGATATCAAAATCGGATGATTTTTATCTACCTGTCATCAGGTAGATAAAAGGTAGATTTTTTTTATCTGTACTGCCTCAGAAGGACCATTATTTCATGCTGTATTTTTTTTAGTTTTAACAAAAAAAGATTTCTAATCATCTAGCTGTGTAGTTAGATATCTTACATTTCCTCTGTTGCATTTTATATAAACTGCCAGAAAATCTGAGCATTTAGTTTTCAATTATGAATGAAGATATATGGACATTATCTTTTTATTGTTTTCATATCATATGAGTGTTTCATAACATTGTTAATTGTTCTTTACCATATAATAAACATTTCAGGTGCTGTGATTGTATGAGATGAAGCCTTCTTCTGACCAAAATAATTTTTTCTTTTCTTTTTTGTAGCATAAAACTTTGCATTAAAGAAATACAGTCTGAAGTTAACAAGCAATGCCCAGATGTGCAGCTGCAAACAACTACTGACTGCTTTGAGTGGCTAAATAACTATAAATATAATTCATCAAAGTCACCTTCTATTCCCCATGGAGATTTGATAGAATTCCTCAAAACACTGGTAAAAAAAATATCTTTGCTTTGTAGTGGCAAGGAGTGGGTAAAATTAAACATAATTCTTTCCATTTCTATAAGAAAATCTTTATTTTGGTGACCATATTACCTGCCCTATTTATAGGTTTTTATTTTATTTTGTATCTATATGCCCACCACAATCCAGTAAGCTGTGTGTGTGTTTTTTTTTCTTACTATGATTTTTTATCAATAATGTTTTATATAAATGGAGATTGTTATAATTCTGGGTAATTTGTGGTGTGATATATTGATACATACCACAATTTCCTATTGGAAAAATTCATGTTTATTACATTTTGTGTCTCTCCACAACTACTCATTTTCACTGTACTCATTAATATACATACATAAGATCCCTATTGATTTTATCGATTAAATAGCTTTGTCTGTAATTTTCTACTTCCCTATCCTGTGGCATTATCATCAAAGCAGTAATTTAGACAAGATCAGTGTTAATTGAGATAGACTATTACTCTGTCCATTCTTTGGTACTGACCATATTCTGTGTTATTTAGTTACGTCTATATCGTTTTGATCAGGGATTGCTAGCTTACAAAAGCAGTTTCAAAAAACAAAACAAAACCCAATAGTTACAAAGCAGGATTTCTTTCTTTCTTTTTTTTTTTTGTAAAGCATACAGAACTTGGGTACAGGCTAGGGGTGCAGAGTAAGTGAGAGGATTCACCAGAGACAGAGCCTGGAGCAGCACAGGCCGATCAACTAAGTACACTGCTGTGGAGAGCAGCAGGCAGTCAAGAGAGGTCTGCTGCGCCATGTGGGTCAGCTCCCTAACTGAGATCAAACTTGTGCTGAAGCGGCTGCAGCCAGCTTTGCAGCCTGCACATTAAGCCTGTGCATCACCAAAGAGGGTCCAGAAAGCAGAATTTCTGTAACTATGGTTTTGATTTAATTTAGGAAAGAAAAGGCATCGTTTTTGTCTAAACATCAAGCATTGAGTAGGGCAGATGTGGAAATATCTTGAAGTTGTAGATGACTTAGGATGACAGAATCAGACAAAAATGGTTTTTGGTGGTTGTTATTGTAGATATGTAGATATGTCTTTAATGTTTCCAAATTAATAAAAAGAAAAAAAAAAAGACTATATGCCCCAAAGCCCATTATCTGTTGAAGGTGGAGCCTTGAAGAATAAATATGGCTAAAATTATTCCTTTAATTTCTATTAAGAGCCATGTGTATTGAATTTCATTAATATTGATGTAATAATGCTTTCTTATTTAATTAAAAGCAAAAGCTTTTAATTATCTTTTAATCTGTCACACATAAGTCATTCTCTGTTCACTGCAGGGCAGAGGCCACCTTAGTTTTGCTCATATTCATTAGACCGATCGGTTTATCCAGACCTAGATTTTTTTTTACATAATTGATCATGTTATATTGAGGAAATAACCACATTATTAAAATAGATCCAAATTAAAACAACCTATTATCAGATTTTTATAGGATAAAAGTGTCAATCCCAATGGAATTTCTCATGCATCTGTTTTTTTTTACAGAGAAAAATTTTTGCGTATTAATTATCTAGCTATTTAAATAAGATACAGAGATCCTCATTAGGGCTATTATTCAGAAAATGTTTTCGAAATTGGAGCAATCACACTAAACACATATTTTAAACCTCAAGTCTTTTATTTTCTGTTTGATAAAATATTTACAGTTATTGAGTGATTTAAAGAATGAGGTTGAGGTACTGATAGCTTGACATCCTAAGCTCTTTCTAAGGACATTTCTTTTCCAGAACTATCAAAAGAAATAAACAGATGACAAGTAGAGAGAGAAGATTCAGAAAGGCCATTGCACCTTCTGGCTTTCTAAAGTATAGTACAAAGGATATGGTCGAGGACAGTGAAGTCAGGGAATCCTTTCTGTTCTGTGCTTTAGCATACGTGACTTTTGGAAAGTAACTTAAATATACTGTACTTTAATGTCCTTATCTTTTAGTTGCGGTTTTATATATGTATGCCACATAGTTTTCATTATAGAGACTACATGAGCAAGTGCTTTTAAAAAATAAGAGTATATGCGGTTTCTCTGGTGATACAAGGGACTAAGTCCCAGTACTATGAAGCTGTAGACACAGCTAATGCAGGACGAATTCAATCCCTGTCCAGGGACCTGACCCATATGACACAGCAGACCTCTCCTGTATCACCAGCTACTCCCCTCAGCAGTGTTTTTCTGCAGATCTGCTTGTTCTGCTCCCCACTCTGCCTCTGTTATATCCTCCTATCCGCCTCCTATCCCACACTTTAACCACACAACCCATCCACATCCCTCTGGACTGCACCCCAACTCTTGTATGCATAAATAAACAAATCTTTAAAAAAAAGAGAGTATATATATGTATGTGTACACACACACATATGTATGTTAGGCCTTGCAACTTATTACAGATAGAACATTAAAAGTAAACATTGCAAACACAGAATGATTGAGAGTGAATTTGTGGAGTTTGTCTAAGAGTTGTTCATAGTTGTGAATAACAACTGTGGTATTTTTCTCAGTAAGATATTTTAAAGTCAGTATGATTTTATATTACTTGAACTTGCTCCCATTTTTCTTATCATCAGCTCATTGCTACTTAGAGAATATAAGCTCATTTCAGCTTTAGCTGAAATATACGTAATTAGTGAGGTCAACATGTGAAGAAATGTGTGTGTATCATTTAAAGTCCAAAAAGAAAGTAATTTTTTGTCCGTTTGCTATTCAGAATTGTTCCTATTATTGTTTTCTGTATGTTAGCACAGAAAGTATAACAGTATAATTTCATGCCATTTTGGTGGACCAATTGTGAGAGTATTTTTCCCTCACTTTGAGTTAGTCATTTCTTTAGAGAGAATCGAAATATCCTGTGAATACATTTCCAAAATAATATCTTTTTTACATAGTTCTCAAAAAGGAATTTAAGTGAAAGTTAAAAACTTTGAATGCAATTTTATTTCTCAGTGTGACAGCTATTAGTAACCCCTAGGTACATGCTATATTTAAAGGTCTCCATTTTGTATGTTCATTTGGGATTTTATAACAAGAAGTGTACTCATTCAGGCATGGAAATTATCTATCAGGAATTAATTAAGGGCATGATCTTGAATTTGTTTCGTCTTAAGAATCCATTTCAATTGATGTTTTACTATTACTTTCTTAAGAATTTTTAAGCTGCAGATTTCATACTCAAGTTATATCAAGAATAGATAACAACAAGGGAAAACATCTATATATCTAAAAATCTAATTGAAAACATATTTCATCAGCTGGGCTTTATGAAATTTAACAGAACATAAAACTGGCCTTTTAAAATTTCAAATGCAAAAAAAAGGAAAATACTTGAAGAGCATCCAAGAGTGAATTTTTTTCTTTTGCATGGAAGAACTGGAGTGTAGGCCAAGGTGTGGGAGGGTGGAGTGTGAGAGAATTTATCAGAGACAGAGTGGAGAACAGAATAGGCAGTGCTGAGGGGAGCAGTGGGCCAACTCCCTGGCTTTAGAAGTGATAGTACTGAGACTTAGCCCCTAGGCTACCAGGGAGCCCCAAGAATGGATTTTAATGGAAATGAACAACTATGAAACCACATGACATTAGAAATTATTTTTATCATGTCACTTTTACAGTTAATCACCTTTCTAATGTTATTTACTTTTATTAGCAAGATTTCTTGAAGAATGAACAAAATCAAGAAGAAATGATATTGGATTTACTTTGGAACCTTTCCTGCCAGAGAAGCACTTCTTTCCCATCAACTCTGAGTGGAATATCATTCCATTTCCTTTCTACCACTTGCCTTCATTCTGTTGAAGATCATTCCTCTATGGATGTAAAGTCTATATGGGATGATATAAGACTACATCTTCGACGTTTCTTAGTGAAAAAATTACAAAGCCATAATGAAATAAACAATTCACAGCAAAAAATTTTGTTGAAAAATCAGTGCATACAACAACTCTTGTTTCTTTACCCTGAATCAGAAGTAATAAGCAAGTACCAAAACATACAGAATAAACTGTTGGCTAAACCTCTGCAGAACTGCTTTGCTTACAGCAAAGAATCAAATTTAGACATAATGCTTCATGGATATCAAACTACAATGCCTAAGTTATACTCAATGATAAAAGAGGATTTTAACACACTGGGTGAAATTTTAGCCCCATCATCAACAGCGAAATTCATTAAAGAAACTTACCTGGATACTATTACTGAAGAAATGGCAAATTTTTTGTCAAATTTTTGGGAGCTACAGTTCAAAGAAAGTACTGTCCATGTGATTAAAACAAGCAAGAGCTCCAGCAAGCATAGAAGAGCAGTGCATGCTTTGGGTTAGTGATATTTTAAATTTCTGTTTGTTTTAAATCAAGCCTTTTGATACCTTTAATTTCCTAGCAATTTTTTAGTTAGCTAATCTAACCGCAAACTTAAAAATAAATCAGTAAGTAAATGAATGGAAATTTCCATTATATATTTCTTTCATGCCTTCTAATAGTAATGGAAGCATTTTATTTCCTGTTATTTAAATTATTAAAGAGATTGGAAGTGTAATTCATAAATATGGCCAATAAAAGTTTCATTTTTTCATTGTATAAATTACTTGGTGATGCTAACATATACATATTTGTGTGTGTATGTGTCTGTGTGTATGTGTATATATGTGTATGTGTATATATGTATACACACACACATATATATATATTATATATATAAAACAAAAAATATAATTTGAGACCCATCGCATCTTCCAAAGCTCAAGAATTATTAGGCAAAAAAAAAAAAAAGTTGATAATTTGTTGAAATTTGTAATAACTAAAATTGGAGGTTAAAAACTATAATACTTTAAAAAAAAAACTATGATACTTTGTTAGCCAATTCAAATACGAAGCTAATGTAAAATTCTAAGGATAAAATTCTATGTTATAATTAGTTATAGGTATACAGTATTTTAGTAATAGCACTTTTAAAAGCCCCCATTATTATTTTTATAAAAATATTCAGTTTTTTTAATAAGCTACCTGTAATTTCTAATTTTATTCAAAAGATAAGGTAAAAAGGAAATAAACTGTTGTGATATAATATTATTTCTTCTGTGATCAATTTAACTCTTCCAATGGAGAAAGTTCAAGGTAAAAATAAATGATTATTTTGGAAGGTATGATTAGTTATGCTTTTGTTTAAAATCCTGAAGTATATTTCTGAGTAGATTCATAAAATATATTTTTAAGTGTTTGAAAATTATCATTTGGTAAATTGTTCTCTTTGATTTTTGAAGATGTTATAAAAATTTCCTTAGCACACTATCTTTTTTACTTACCTTTCTTAACAAAATGTCAGAATACCAAATTACTCTGATATATGGATTTTCAACCAATTTGTTTTCTCTTACTATTTTTGTTTTCCTCCAGAAGCTGCATCATAGAACAGAGATATATCAGCCAAGTTAGTTTATGACATAATTCATAGTTAATTTAGGAACATTACAATTTGCTCAAAATAAATAGATTTTCATTTTAATTATAACACAAAAATTAAATGCATTTCATGACTGTGCTTTTTTCTATATTTTGCATTCTTTAAAAAAATCTGATTATCTGTAAATGTTTTCAGTATAAAACTTTTATATCAGCTAAATATAGTTTATAACAAAAAAGACACATATGGTTAAAAATATGTGTAAGTTGTTATGGAAACTTAAGAGCTGCTATTGAGGTGTTTTTCTATTTGTGAGAGAAAATTATGTGTGTCAGTGTTAACACCAAAACCTAAAAACATTTTCCACATGTCTAAATGCTCTAATCTTTCTCAAGCTCCTTTTTCTGAACTTTGGTATAAAGTGCTTGTTAAATAAATGCTTTCCATGTTTTAGGTACTATGCTAAGCACATCCTACTTCTTATTATCCTAATTTTTTCAAAGAAAGAAGCTTACACAAACTCACTTGTCCTGAATGACATTGTACACAGTCACAATTCATTTTTGGGTCTTTATATCTTCAGTACCCATATTGTCAATCACCATGATCTTGGACCTTCTCTCAAAGTATAGAACTAAATGCTTTGTCATCTGTTAAAAAAAAATTCTATAGCACTATTCTAATAGCCTGAAAATCAACTCAGTTCATCTTTATTGGGCACTTACCCTATCAAGGTATTTAGCAGTTATTATATTTAAGGTTTTGTCCTAGATACAGTAAAGGGAGGCAAACTAAATGAGGAATTACTAATGTTCCTCATTTATGTTATGAGATGTTATGAGAACTGTTGAACTAGTTGAATGATCAACCATATTTTCCACTAATATTTCACATATGCCAAATCTTACTCATCAAAGAAATACAGATTAAGGTAAGCAAAATTATAATAATTGGAATTTATTAATCAATTATAATAATTTCTATTCATATTTAATCTAGATTGGCTTGAATGGTTTGCACATTATTATTTTTCATATATATATAGAGAGAGCTAAATCTGTATATCTATCTTTATGTTCACCAAATCTTTGGTATTTTGTGTGAAACTATAGAAAAGACATATCTTTAGTAACAATAACCCCATTTAGTCATTTAGTTTGTGGAGTCTGACATTATTGTGTATTATCTCATTTAATCCTTCTTACCACCCAAGAACATAGTACCATTATTTCTTATCTCTATTATATAGTGTGCTATCTAACGCCTAGAGATATTATATTATTTGCTCAAGCTTACCAAGTAAAGTCAAGATTCAACGTTAGGCCTATATCACTATAAAGCCTCTATTCCTTGGTTGTGCTCTACTACCTAAAAAAAACAGAATGGAAATAGCACATTCTGTTAAAAATTCTCTGTATACTGACTCTATTTGTAATCTGTTTTACTTTTTTCTAAACTATCCCGCACACTTCTCACTTGAAGATTATACAATGCCAATTTCAAGGTTTTTTGTTCATAATTCTTACTTTGTGATCTATTGTTATCTTAAACAGACCTTTATGTATGCTAAACTTTCTCATTTTCAGCTTTACTGAAATATAATTTTGTAAGTTTAAGATTTGTAATGTGTTGATTTGATCCTCCTATATGTTTAGCATTCCATATTATCTCCATCAAGTTACAAAAGTGCCATTGCTTTCAGTGATGAAAACTTTTAAGATCTACTCTCTAAACAACTTTCAAGTATAAAGCACATTATTGTTGAAGAGAATCACAAAACATTCATTCTCTTCCCACAAGTTATTCATCTTCTAACAAATTTTGTACCAATTGCCCAGTATCTCTTTACTTGTCTTATCTTCTAGTCCTTGGTGACTACCATACATACTACTGTTTCTGTGAGTTCAGTTTTTTTAGTTTTTCATATAAGTGAGATTGTACAGTATCTTCTTTATCCATTCATCCATAGACAGAGATTAGGTTCTTCCCATGTTTGGGCAGACATGACCTTTATTATGTTGAGATGTATTCTGTCTATGCTCATTTTATCGAGAGTTTTATATTATGAAGGGCTTTTGAATTTCACCAAATAAATGTTTTCTCTGCATCTATAAAGAGGATTGTAGGTTTGTTTTTAATCTTTCATTCTGTTAATGTGGTATATCACATTTATTGATTTGCATATGTTGAAGCTGCGTTGCATCCAGGGATAAATCCTGCTGTATGTTCCTTTTAATATGCTATGGAATTCAGATGCTACTATTTATTTGGTTGAGAATTTATCTATATTCATCAGGGAGATTGACTTGTAATTTTCTCTCCTATTAATACCCTTATCTGGCCTTGATATTAGGGCAATGTCAATTTAAAATGAGTTTGGGAATATATTCTCCTCTTCAATTTTTGGAAAAATTTGTATGCTAGACTTAATGAACTATCATTTTATCTATCTATGAATATACCTATAGTGTTCTTGAAGAGCTAAGGCTTTTTTAATTGCCTCTGCTTTTCTAGAATTGGTTGTTCTTCCCTGAATTTAAATTATCTACCCCTACATACATATAAATATGTCTTTATAATATGTGTACAAATGTACTTATACTATGTATATATACCCATATCTATATTTATAACATACATATGTAGAAAGAATATTTCCTAGCATCAAAATAACACTAGTTGCTTCCTATCTTGTATAGTTTTGCATAAGTGAATTTATTTAATCCTTGTATTTTTCATATTTTAAATATGAGAAAACTGAGACTTATGAAGGTAAATGTTTTCTAAGGTCTTACAGTTAGTAATTCATTAAAAGTATATTTCTTATTTTTAGATTTTTTTTGTATATTATCTTGATAAACCCCTAAACTGCATGGCAAAAACTCATGCAAGGCACTTTTGTAATTAGCTAAAAATAATTTCCAAGCACTTTCACATTTTCTTTTTTAATTCGCTTTTTCAGTGTTTTTACTTTGTTTTCACTATTATTGACAGTGACTCATAACTAATAATTTGCTTGTGCTTATTAGAAAACTGACTAAGGCAACTTTTATGCTATTTCATTCTAGTTTAACACTGGCTTTTGTGATAATGGAGTATCCTAGAGTTGTAGTGATGTAGCTGGGCATGGATTCAGGTTCTTCCTCTAAATGTCTTTTAAATATGGTGATTGTGACTGTCTCTCTATTTTCCTATGATGAAATGCCAGGCAGACAGATGCTTTACTTTATCCTATCTTTTTTCATTTATTTTTATGTGATTTTGAGTGTTTTATTTCTAGGAGTACTTAGATTGTTTTAATATTATAATGCATTTAGAAGTATAAAGCTCATATGTTGCTTTATTCAAAGAAAATAATGAAATGTTATAAGTATTACAGAATCTTTCTGATTTGGTAATATACTCTTCAAAAGGACAACATGCTTTTTTTTTCTTCACAAAGTTTCAAGTCTGTAAAGTTTCAGAGTTTCAAGAGCTATTTAAGATCCAAACTTTCGCAATAATTGATATTGTTAATCCGTATTTTTACAGTTATTTGCAATTTTCAGGAAATTATAAGTCATAAAAATTTATGCTACATTATTTTGCTTTTTAATTTAGTTCATAATGACCCAAAATTAAATAGCTTTTTAAAAGGTAGAAATTTATGCTTTACATTTTAATTTTAACCCAGTTTTCATTATTTGGTAGGTCAGATTCACATCGACACGTATACAGGTGCCCTCTACATTAGAAGAACAATACCATTCTGACATTATAACATTCTTTCTATATTTGGAGTGGTTAAGTGATTGAGTAGAAATTTATAGTTACTTTTCTCAATGCTTAAAAAGACAGGGTCGTTTATATGTAGTAAGATATCAGCTGAATATTAGCTATTTTAGTATAAAACTACGCAACTTGGAGATTTAGACTATAGAGTAAATTTCATGGTGATCTATATAGTTTATTCTTAATTTTTATTCAAACAAAATTTAGAGAAAATTGAGAGAAAAAAAGATTAAGAGACTGATACATTTCTTTTAGTATCTGGAATGTTTCTAAAATCTGCAGTGAATGGGAAGTTGCCGCTGGGTGGCCTCCCTTTCACAGTTCCTTTCTTTTTTTTTAAAGGACGTTTGGAGGTTTGGCA